TTCTATTAATGAGACAGAGAAACTTTTGAGCTGCACAGAGCTTTTCTTCAGATCTGGGAAGGTGAACTGGATCTACCTATTTTTATATATATTAGAAGTTTCTGTATGAGAGGCTGTTTGTTCAAGAACTCCTAAACGATAAGAGCTAGGACCACCAAATTTGGTGTGCAGTTCCTCTTACCATATTTCAAAGAAATATCGGGATGTGGTTATGCCAGAAACAAGATGTGGCTGGAATTTGATAGTTTTCATGACACAGAAAGAGAAGGGGAGAGAAAGGAGGAATACAATCCTCATACTTACCATTGGGAGCAGTAAGCACAGGAGACAGCTCTCCTGCCAAGTGACCATTTGGGCCAGTCGCACCACTGATGGCACTGGGGAGAGCTCCCTGCCATCCTGCCTGCCTCTGGAAAGTGGCCATTCTGCCTAATGCCTCCCCCCCTCCAAATCCAGACTCACCACTGTGCACCTCCAATACCTGAGAACACCACCAGGACCTGCCAAACACTGCTCCAGCCATCGTCCACAGAATTCACAAGCATTAACGCTTTTCTGCCCTGCCCGCACCACTGGGATGCTCAGTGCAGCTGCTGCAAGCTAGTCTACAAGGTCCCCCTCTTCGACTTCTCCTCCCTCCTGCCCTGGACCAGGGAGAGCCTGGGGAAGCCTATGCAGCCTCTCTTACCTCCCAGGCTGGCCTGAGAAGGGCTGGTGGGAAAGGCCTGTGACAACCCCTCACTCCTCCATCCCTTGGCCTCAGGAAATGTCTCCAGGGAAGACGTGCACAGCCCCTTCCACCTCACCTGGTTAGTGCATGCAGAAGAGGCCTGTGCAGTCCTTGTCCCATCCTCTTGGGTTGAGCCCCTTCCCCTAGCCCCGATCCTACCCCAAATTAAATCCAGAAATGTCATATTGCTCACCTACATTTTTATACATCACTACACAGTTTTCATCATGGTTTGCAAAGTTGGGTTCATGTGCTGCCCATACTAAGAAATTCACAGGGGTTCCATCCATGCAACTTAAAATCAGATGAAACAGAACATACTTAGGCAAAAATGTATTTGCTTCCATGTTACAAAAATGATCCTGTAAAATGTTAAAGAAGTCTCAACCCAGACATTCTCATTTTCACTAATCCATGCCTCTCTTCCTAGCTGTAGGGCAGGGAATAGCATAAGCACCATTATATTGGCAGTGTGTCACCTGACTTTTCATCCATGTAGGAAGAAAGCTGCTTGTAGTCTGGCAAGGCAGTTATAAGGCCACTATGTGATGCTGGAGCTTTACCAGTGGCAATAAGAAGGAAGTTCTAAATCTGAGTAGAACATTTGAGGATGGAGAAACAAATGTTGTAATACTTGGTAGCACAATGATT